GGTCCCTATTTATCTACTTGCATTTGCATGCTTTCGAACCACTAGGTTGGCGGGAGCTGGGACAAGCGACGGGCGCTCACTCTGTCGCGTGGATTCGATCTTACGACTGCTTGGTCTTCTGACCCTGCAGCATAGACTTCTGCGGTTTAGCCCGCAGCGCCACCACGTCCACATACGCTCAGTAGCATGTTGAAAAATATGATGGCCAGAAAACTGAGTATGCACAATTTTCCTTACATTCTGTGTATTGTATATCAGAATTCTCGCTACTGTCTAGCTATTTATTTTTTAAGGGCAATGAACCAATAGAAAATCATTCTCATTAAAATGATGTATGCAGGCATGTTAACAATAGATGTATGTTTCCTAGTACCTGGATCATTTTGGTGTGAAGTCCTTGTCCCATTTCTATGCCACCGTAAGTCAGGAGCACGGACCCATCAATATACAAATGAATCAGAGCAGCTGCCTGGAAAAACATCAAGCAAAGACACTGACTCTGAAATGGGGCATTAGAAATAAATGACTGGGTGATATTCCTGGACAAACTACAGTGATGCCTCGCTTAACGAGAATCCGTTCCAGTGAAATCGCTGTAGAGCGAAATCCTCATTAAGCAAAATAAAAAATCCCATTGAAATGCATTGAAAACCCATTTCAATGCGTTCCAATGGGCTGAAAACCTCACAGTCCAGCAAAAATCCTCCATAGGGGTGGCCATTTTCGGTGTCTGTAAAGCGAGGAATCCATCCAAAAACACAGCGGGGAGCCATTTTACACAGCGGGTGGCCATTTTGAAGCCGCCAATCAGCTGTTTTAAAAATGTCGTAATGCGAAGCAGGGAACCGATCGTCGCAAAGCGGATTTTGCCTATTAAAACATCGTTTTGCGATTGCAAACAGTCATCGTATAGCGGTTTCATCATTTAACAAGGCGATCTTAAGCGAGGCACCACTGTACCTTCATAAACCTTGAGAGAGAATTGGTTTGTTTAAATAAATACAATAAAACCTTTACAGAGCAGGGAAAGGTTGTTGCTCCAAGTACCTGCCAAGTACCATGCTAGCTCTACCATTGGGCAATGTGAGGAAATTGTCTTAAGCAGTCTACTCTGGGGCACAGGAAACTGTTGTCTTGGATGACAGGTTGATGGGGGCCATGGGGTCTTCACCAGGCCCCTTAAACTAGCCTGCTGTCATCACCAGGTCCATCCTGTCACCAGTGCTGAGCAAAGCTTTTGGGAAGTGTCATATGGTGCATTCCTATAGCGAGTGGGATTGAGAATGCAGGTGCCGGACCTAAATAAAGAGAAGGTGAGGCCAAATCAGCCAGGGGTCAGCAGTCAAGGCCTGATATAAATCTCATCAGTTTGGAGTTTTTCCAAAAGGACAACACCATTCTAGGCATATCTACTCAGAACACCTGAGGGAAGCCCTGGTACAGTGAGTTTTGGGCACACAGATAAAAAGCAGCTGCTGCCATCTAAAACTTCAGATATTACTGATTTGTACAATTTCTTTGGGGCAATTAAACTGAAGGAGATCTGGGCCTTCTCAGATCTTTTAATTTATGGAATCTTTTTGTTCTAGGAACTCTCCTGTGCCTTCGAACCTGTTAGATTGTGGTAGGATGCAAAAAGAGGTCCCAGCACGGGGATGGGTGATGGGTACTTGCAGTTAGTATATCTGTGGATATTTCCAACTGACCTGACCGAGGACACGAGCCCCAAACCCAACTGGGAACTTCAAGGGAATAATGGCAATTCCCTTTTTCTTCCAGTAATTTTTCTTGTTGAACTCCTCGATGGCTTCTCTCCTAGTGCGATAGGATGATTTCTTCATGCACTCCTTCCAGCACCTGTGAAGGTCCTCTGACTTGAGTTCCTGCTTGTACGGTGTCCATTCATTTTCCTTGTACAGGTTGATTTCCCTAACCTGGACAGCAAAGTACTACAGTAAACATAAGCACCGCATGAATAAAAGGCTCTAAGAGTCTGGGTTCATGGCCAGCCCTACCTTTAGACAATGTGAGGCAGCTCCTTCACAAAGCAGATTTAAGGCATCACAAAAAGACTGGATATTCTTATTTATTTGATTTTTAATTATTTGAGCTGCCAGAGGTGCTAAGTGCTCGTAGGACTTCCTGCCTGATGTGCAAAACTAACTTAGTTGGCCACTATGCACCTTGAAGTGGGCAATGAGCGGTGGCAGCATCATTCCCCTCTCTCGTCTCAAGGAGGAAAAAGGAGTGGCCTGGTTCTATCTCATTGTGTTGACCTAAGGCCAAATTCTTCATGTATTTTTCTGAATATCTTATGGATCCAGGTTTGGAAACCAGTGGGGCGCCTATTGATAACACATCACACTTAAATCATGTGTTACATTTGCTGCCAGAATGCTGTTAAAAAAACTGGGTCTGACAAGGTAATTGCACAAGGGTTTCCAATGTCTGACAGGGTATCGGTTATGCAACCTGTTATATACTGTCCACGAAATCAGTTGTGTAAAAAATCATGTGGCAGACGTCCCCCAAAGGAGGGAAACCAGTCACAAAAATGCCTTTCTGTACACAATTGCTTTTCACAAGATTCTGGCTGACCTATGTAAAATATTGTTCTATTACATATGCCAGTGGTATCGCAAAGCAAGTTTTGCGATAGCATTTATATAAATAGGACATCGTGATATTCCAAAACAGGATTTAGTCACATAGAGGTGCTAAAACATACACTTTTTAGGAGGCTTTCATCTCTATTAATCAAGACAATTAACGTTCAAAAAAGGAACATAGTCATGACTTGGTGCCTTAATCTCACACTTCACCTTCACTGCCATTCCATTGACATCTGTTCCCATGGAGCCTACCGAACCACATGCATTAGGGACGGTCGTTGTACTGGTCTCACAGAAGTGGATGTCTGACATGGGCATTTTTAATTCTCGGCTAGCAACCTGGATAAGAAACAAATACAATCCTACTGTTAAGCACAACTGAATGTTTAAGCAAAACACAACTTCATCTTGATCGTAATATTTGACCAAGAAGGAAACAGTCCATTTTCTTCTGCATGTTATCAGGAGTTAATAATTACTTAATTTGCATGTATGTACTAATGGATTTTCAGCCTTTTAAGTGTAGATACAATGATTCCAGATAAGGCACTTATCACCATACCTTCTTAGATTCACTGAATTTTACATAAACTTTTGATGTCGCGATTAGGGATGGGGGTATTCATATTTGTATACAAATACGAATATCCCCATGCAGCTGAATTAGACAGTCCACTCACTCACCCTGCTGTGGAACTAGTCCTGCTCATCCTTCCCAGAGCGCCATTTTCTTCCTGCTTGGTTGGCCATTCCAGGCAGAGGGAGGGAAGATGTGTCTCCCTGCATGGCTGCTGAGTGGCTAACTGAGCAGGAAGAGAATGGCTCTCCGGACGCAATTGTAAGGATGAATGGGACTGCTGCTACAGTAAGACACGTGAGTGGACAGTCTGGCTCCAGGGGCCAGACACTCATTAAGTTCAGCTGCACAGAGATATTCGTATATAAATACGAATATCCCCATCTCTAGGCACTATTCATAAACCTCCCTGATTCTTCCATTACTTTTGGTGCCTTTTATCTTAATATGGGAAATCGATTAAGATTGGGGGAGGAAGAACCGTTTCCTGACCTCTCAACAGCATTAATCCTGAAGAGACTCCCATCTGGAAGCCCCAGAGGACCATGAGTTACTAGGGCTGGGGAGTTAACTTTTTCTTTGTTCTCTTTCAGTGTCATTGAACATTAGTGGAGGCAACACTTAAGGGCAATACTACAAATGGCCATCTTCTGTCTGACTGATCTGCCTGTTCTTCCATTCTGACTTTACCTGCTCCTTCTCTTATACACCTTGAAATCTATGGGCTTTCAAGAGAAGCAGGATTCTATGAAAGAGGCAGAGAGCACATTTATCATACTAGCACGAGCCTTCTTGACAACAGATAACTAATAATGGTCTGGTGGCAATAGTTCAATAGAATTTGTTTCCCTAGAGTGCCCATCTTCCATACTCAGTCCTCAAAGAAAAAAGGTACATTATAAATGTCCTTGTCTTTTAGAATTAGATCATGGCCTTACTATCAATATAAACATTACTGATACTAATTAAGAGGTCCCAGCACATAATAACCATTGCTATTTTGTTTTTTAAAAAGCAGATTTTCAGTTCACCAGAATCCTAGTGGGTTTGCACAACACAAGCCCAAAACTGTGCAGCTGGTGTCCCCAAGTTGTTCCAATCGTCTTTCACATACCTGGCCTTATTAAGGTCATACGCTCAGTAAGGTTCCCCTTGACAATTTTTGTCCAGCTGTGCTGTGCTCTAGGGGGTGGTGCTCATCCCCGTTTCCAAGCCATAGAGCTTGGCCTTATTAAGGTCATATGCTCAGTAGCATGTTGAAAAATATGACACATGGCCAGAAAACTGTGAGTATGCACAATTTTCCTTACATTCTGTGTATTGTATATCAGAATTCTCGCTACTGTCTAGCTATTTATTTTTTAAGGGCAATGAACCAATAGAAAATCATTCTCATTAAAATGATGTATGCATTTATCTACTTGCATTTGCATGCTTTCGAACCACTAGGTTGGCGGGAGCTGGGACAAGCGACGGGCGCTCACTCTGTCGCGTGGATTCGATCTTACGACTGCTTGGTCTTCTGACCCTGCAGCATAGACTTCTGCGGTTTAGCCCGCAGCGCCACCACGTCCACATACGCTCAGTAGCATGTTGAAAAATATGATGGCCAGAAAACTGAGTATGCACAATTTTCCTTACATTCTGTGTATTGTATATCAGAATTCTCGCTACTGTCTAGCTATTTATTTTTTAAGGGCAATGAACCAATAGAAAATCATTCTCATTAAAATGATGTATGCAGGCATGTTAACAATAGATGTATATTTCCTAGTACCTGGATCATTTTGGTGTGAAGTCCTTGTCCCATTTCTATGCCACCGTAAGTCAGGAGCACGGACCCATCAATATACAAATGAATCAGAGCAGCTGCCTGGAAAAACATCAAGCACAGACATCGACTCTGAAATGGTGCATTAGAAATGAATGACTGGGTGATATTCCTGGACAAGCTACCTTCATAAACCTTGAGAGAGAATTGTTTTCTTTAAACAAATGCAACAATAAAACCTTTACAGAGCAGGGCAAGGTTGTTGCTCCAAGAACCAGCACAGTTCATGCTGGATCTACCCTTGGACACAGTGAGGAAATTGTCTTAGGCAGTCTGCTCTGGGGCACAGGCAACTGTTGTCTCGGATGACAGATTGATGGGGGTCATGGGGTCTTCATCAGGCCCCTTAAACTAGCCTGCTATCATCACCTTGTCCATCCTGTCACCAGTGCTGAGCAAAGCATCAAGTCATCCTGGACAGCATCTGCGTGTGGAATTTGGGAAGGAGGGCATCTCGTCCTTCAACAAAAATGAAAACATCTAGGGGAAAACCTGCAGCATAATATTATCACGCTGAGGGTGGAACTTGGTGCTTGTGTAACTGCTCTGACTAATCGGTCTCTGTTTCATTCACTCATAGGCATCCTTCAGTCTCGAGAGAGTATGGTAACATGCTCTGTATGGAGGACTTGGAACAGCGTCTAGTGTTTCGACGCTGTACGCGAAGCTGCGGTGTCCTCTCCAGGGCATGAAGCCTGGGTAAAATAATATGGAGGATAGGCTGTTACCCAACCAGCAAGTCCCCCCTCTCCACATCGCTGAAATGGTCCAATGGAAAGGCAAGAGCCAATACAACTGGTTTCAGCAGTGTCGCAGGAGTTGACAGAATGACATGAACTTTTTATTTGTGCTGATGACCTTTTCATTTTGAATGAATGGGCAGAGACAGCTGGGCAGCAACTAGCCAGACATTTGCCACAAGGAGGATGAGTTTCACTACCACCTCTGAGCCATGCAGCCCCCCTTCCCAGCAGGTTCACCTGCGCATGTTGCCATCTATGTTGTTGTACTTTTTGTTCTAGGAACTCTCCTGTGCCTTTGAACCTGTTAGATTGTGGTAGGATGCACAAAGAGGTCCCAGCACGGGGATGGGTGATGGGTACTTGCAGTGAGTATATCTGTGGATATTTCCAACTGACCTGACCGAGGACACGAGCCCCAAACCCAACTGGGAACTTCAAGGGAATAATGGCAATTCCCTTTTTCTTCCAGTAATTTTTCTTGTTGAACTCCTCGATGGCTTCTCTCCTAGTGCGATAGGATGATTTCTTCATGCACTCCTTCCAGCACCTGTGAAGGTCCTCTGACTTGAGTTCCTGCTTGTA